AAAAAGAGTTTGGTTAAGCAAAACTCAAGTAACTAAAAAAGCTTTAATGTATGCCTGTACTTCATTTCTGTACTATATTAGGAAAATTTTCATTATGTTTAAGGGAAAGAAAGAAAACATATATCAAAAAGTGCATATTGCATATAATATGTTTTAAACAGATTATAAATTTTGGTCATACGTGGTGATATTTATCAGTCTTTCCATTATATGGCTTAAAAGGCAACTAAATAATAGAAAGCAAACACATTTTGTAATCCCCATAATTCCCCATGACTTCTCTTCCCTTCCCAAAAGTATATCCGGTATTATGATAAAAATAAAATAAAATAAAAGGATAACCATTTACTTATGTGCATTCATGTTACTCTTATGTGAGAGACTTCATGGATAACAAGGATTTCGTTAGATTGTGTGCCCAAAAGAGATAATACAAGGCTAAACAAAAGCACTTCGTATTATTACATTCTACTTTTCAGAACTTAAAAGGGTAATTGTTTAGTGAATTAAATTGTTAAAAAACATGCTACAGTTGCAGTTTCAAAATCACCTGTATGGGTCCTTTATTATGAGCTTTGTTACCCACTAATCATTTAAATATGAAATATAATGAAACAAGTCACTTCTAATTGATTCAGAATTTAATAGGAATGTTATGGCAGAGTTCATTTGAAGGTTCATCCATACTGAACCATGTAGTTTGATGGGCACTGAATAGAAGAAATTGCATTTGGAGCTGAGAATTATAAATCTATGTCCTGTAATGGAAACTTGAATTTAACTAGTATTCACTTTTTCTTGGTGACAGAAACCTCTATTCCTGTGTTATACTCAATTGTATCACCAATTTGAATTTTCTGGATTTGTTTTCAAACTGGACAGTTGTAATTGACACAACCCCCCAACTTTTTTGTCAGAAACAATTCAACTGTACAAGTAGAAGTTGCAATAATAATAAGAAAGTAGAAACTCAACAGTAACAAATGTGATTTCTAATAATACAATATGCTGCAAGGAATAGTATAGCTATACTTATCTTAAGGCATGTTTCATTTCTGATATAACAGTATATCGGTAGATAGTAACATTCTAGATTTAGCCTTTGGTCAAACCGTAGAGCAGAATATATAATATATTTCTAACCAGTTTTAGAAATGGCTGGGACTTATATTGGACCTCATTTATTTTCTTTATATGGCGAGTCACAAAATTGCAAGGGCCAGGGGGAGGGAAATTATTATATATGTGTCGTGATACAAATGACATGATGTACAATAGATATTTGTATCAAATATCACCACCCAATCATATAGTTGGATTATTTGCACAACAAAGTTATAACGCTTATCATAACTTTATGTTGTTTTACCTGGTTTCGCATGCCTATAACTCTGATTCCATACTGTTTTTCTGAATTAGGCAGCAGTTATTTAGCCAAAGCAGTAGAGAGAGGGAACTGAATTAGTTAGTGATTGTGTGTAAATGGTATCATTGTTTCTGGGCAAAGTTGATAGGATTCACCTTGACTTGAGTCCCATTTTTAAATAAGGGACCGTCAGTTCTTCCAGGTAATCTAGACTAGAAATATGACTAGATGAGCTAATTCTACCTTACTGTAAAGCTGCATTAACAGAATCTTGCAAGCCTGAAAGCATGAACACCTTGCTACTACTTTTAACAGTTTGGTCAATTAGGCTGGGTTCTTCCTAAGTTTTAAGCCACTGGGGGTTCCTGCCTCTCTGTGTCTGTTTCCTATGCAGCATCTCTTCCCCTTGTTCCCCAAGGTTGACCACACATGTAGCCTTACTAAATATTTGTCTTACTCTTTTGGATTTCCAAATATGTAGACAAACTTGCTGTCACCTACATACTGTATATAATTTTTGTTAGGGTAGATCTCAACTTACTGTTAAGAGGAAAGCTTGGGGGGAATGGGCCTTCTTTTGGAGATGCAGTCTCTATGTTAGTATTTAGACCAGTGGTTCTCAACCTTTTTAATGCCGCGACCCCAACCGGTCGTAAGTCGAGGACTAAACCGGTCGTAAGTCGAGGACTAAACCGGTCATAAGTCAAGGACTACCCAACCTGTCGTAAGTCGAGGACTTTCCCTGCCCGGGAGCGCCGCGCATGCGTGGTTCCGCCCCCTGCGCCGGCCGAGGCGTAGCTGGCAAGCGGCAGAGACGGAGCAGGCCGACCACCAGCTGGCCCAGCCCAAGGGAGGTAAGGCACCCGCCGGAAAAGGGGAAAAAATGGCAGACAAAAAAAATGGCGGACAAAAAAAATGGTGGACAGCCTTGCTTGGCGACGCCCGTGAAATGGTCGATCGACCCCAAATGGGGTCCCGACCCACAGGTTGAGAACCACTGATTTAGACTGAGGTGTATTAATTGATTTAAAATATATTATAAAATGGGACTATCCTCTCTCTTAGTTGTCCGAAGTTATAACAGGTATTCTCTCCAGTGGAGTTTGTATTTGGCCTCCACTCTCTCTGTCCTTATAAGAGCAGCCACAATTTTGTATAAAAGTATGAAAAGTGCCATATTTTTCACTGTACAATGTTGTTCTCCAGAATGTTGGAACTACTCCAGAGCAAACTGGTGAAACACCAGGAATTCTTCAAGAGGTTGAAGGGCATGGAAGCAAAAATTAATTTAGTAACTATTGTGTAAACATCATTATACATTACAAAAGGGCATAAACCACACTAAACCACACTAGTGCCGTATTGTTTTCATCATTGGGCCATCTTCAATGGCTCTGTAGAGTAATATCTGTTGCACAGAGATCTGCATATAAATGAGCAAGATAGACATAAGTTGCCCACACAATAATAGCAAACATTTATTAAAAAAAGAGGGAAACTTCACTTTACTGAGTCCCTGATTAATAGTGAACAGTTATACCAGCTCGCTGGAGCCCAAAATTATACCAGAGAAATAATCATCTAAAACCTTATTTAAGGAGGGAAAAACTTCAAAAAAGAAATAGAGTAAAAAAATTAGTTTCTTACTGTTAATGTGATCCATGCTCTCATAATACAGAAATTATGCTAAACGGATCTGCACTGATTCTGTTCATTCAGAAGTACTGAACACAACATCTTGGACTAATTCTGCTCATCCAGGTTGGCCATTGATTAATCTGGGCAGAAAAGTTTGTAAGAAAACTTCATGTTTCACTGGAGCACTGCCACAATAGCCCAGCCATTCATAGTGGGGGGAAAAGTAAGTTCTATACAAAAACAGTTCTATACAAGTAAAGCTATTTGGGAAGGAGATCAAGTGAGTAAAATTTTGTACATACAGGATATGAATGTAAGGTGCTTGCAGCTTCTTACATTCAAAACTTTATTTATTCAGATAGTGTTCATTCAGTAATACAAGTCTAATCACAAGTAGCACGCACACACCCACACCTCTTCCATTTTTGCAAGATTTCTTTCCTCATATTGCTTCAGACTCACTGTTTCTCACTGGTAACATAAATGCCACTGCTGGTCAGCAAGAATAAAGTAATAATTAAAAAATCAATGTACACATATATGTGAACCAGACCCTACAGTATATGAAACACTGCAATTCGGCCTATTTAGATTTTGCTGTTCAGCAAAGCTGAAGAAAAATATTAGGAAAACTAGTAATAACATTTCTCAGTCATTGAAAGCTTTATAATTTTTATCAATGGTTGAACATATAAGCTTTGACAGCTCTTACATGTGGGACACGTTTGTCTTTATAGTAACCAAAGAAATCACAGTAAGAGTATAATATAGTATAGTAATAAAAGAAATACATTCTTTTATTTCTCAACTAAATCATACCCTTACATTTCCCCCCAAAAGAGATTCATTAAAACCAAAAGTAAAGACAAAATGTCTAAAATGAAGCCTCAGAATTTAGTTTTACAGTGGCTTTATGTACTTGGCCTCAGTGATCTCCATAAACGAACTCTTCATATAAGCCCTTGCATTTTTTTATCAACTTTCTCAACTGAAATATATGTTTAAGTGTGTACTGAAAATCCCTGCCAGGATCCCAGAACATCTCAAAAAGTTCAAGGTAAGTAAGGTCACCAGATTTTCTCTAGAAATTTCGAGTACCCATAAATTTTCCTTACCCACCTACTCCTCTGTTCCTTGTTTTATACACTGTGTTTGAGTTAATGAATACATGGATACACATTAAAACACTGCGTTCCTGGTTTTCTGCCACGTAATATACGATATGTATCAAAACAGTAAAACCATGGTAAGTAGCTAATGATGGATGCCTGGTTTGAGGTCTTTTCTTGTCCGACATCAGCATGTTTGTTTATTGATAAGATTTATATAGCCTGCCCTGAATTTACAATCCTGTCCTGAAATTCAAGAAACTTTGTCTGATGCCATACTCTGATGTTGCTGGCTGGAATGTAGCAAATGTATTGCAAAAGCTGTGGAATGGAAACAGTGTCTGGCCATGAAATTGGGGAAAGGCTAGGTGCGCGCCATTAAAAACCACATTGTTCCTCAGTATCATTACTGGTTAAGCACTAAAACAATCAATGTCTCTCCTTAGGTTTATAGCTGGGAGTGTATTTAGTTTGGGAATACAAGAATTTTCGTTGGCCACGTTTGCATTTAACATTTGGAGGAGGGGATCTGAAGGCCACAGATCACTGGGGTCTTACCTCACAGGTAAGCAGGACAGATCTTGAGAGAAGGTTGGGGATATTACTTTTATTTTTTAATCGTGATAGCCCTTTTTGAGGGCTTAAACTAGAGTTTCTATAGGCTTTCCATCTCAGAATAGTAGGAAATGACTGTCAGTATTCAGCAATCATTTCTCAAAGACGGTTAGGAAAGAGGATCAGTTGTAAGCTGGGAAGCTCGTTGCCCATCTATAATTTATTTACTCCTTTATGATAATTATGAACATAGGACCCAGGCTTGATTTTACTTTCTGAGATAAGAATGATGATTTCCTTTAAAATTATTATTAAAACTATTAATAAGTTTAAAGGAAATTTTTAAATTTCTATGTGAAAAGTAGAGTTGAAATCTGTAATGTATTATAATGAAGAAGCTCTACAGGAATAGCAGAGAGCTTACTGAAATCACTATGGGTTTTATTGTTTTATAACTCCTGAAGTCTTTCAAGGTCTAACTTTTAACCAGAAATGATTCCAAACTATTTGTAAACCTGGAGCTTCAAAAACAGAATTAAATTATACAGGAAAATCTTAGAATGATTTATCCTAAATGTACAATTTGGATGACTTGGCACAGATTTTGATTTTTTTTTAATGTAAAAAAACCACAGAAAATTAAAAAAGGGAATCAGAAAAAGATTGCATGAATCAGTCAATTTCATGATGCTACATAAAACTGGATAGCGGAACTGTTAAATGCGATCTATGATCTTCCATACAACCAAAGTACATCTTTCCAGATGAAAGATTCCATAAAATGGACAGCAATTCCTTAAATGGAAACACATCATGGTGACAAGTAAGGTCCTCTTCTATACAGAAGTTATCCCTAAATAGTCAATTGAAGTAGATCTGTCAGTTATTTCACTCAATGCTTCGTGCCATTGATATCTCCAACTTAGAAACGGTGAAGAAATTCTTCAGAAACTGGTGAGTACCTTGGGAATGTCCAGTTAAAAAGTTCAGGAGTAGGTCTTCAGTTTATGTTCATGTTCTCTAGACAGTTATAGTTGTTACAAGTTTGCAAGTAGTGGAGCAGATCAAGTTGTACCAATACTTTTTTTAAAAAAAACAAATGAAACACCAACCAAACCCCATCTCCTCACTTTGCCTTTTGGACATCAGTAAGCAAAATTGTGGCACTAAAATATATTAGTCAGTGCATCTGTATTAGTCACAAATGTGAACTTGATTAATAAGAGGGAAACAAACATACTGTATGTCACTTTCAGTTCCCAGTTATTTTGCCAATAGCAAAAAAAGGCATTTGCTATGCAGTCCTCAAGGATCAAAATGCATATTTCTAAAGGAAGTTGGCAATCGCTCTAAATCTTTTGGTAAAAGATGCAGTTAAAATACTGCTTAAGCTTCTGAGGTCCCTTCTCCATTTTCATGAGGTTGAAGTTGTTCTCTTTCTTGTTCTTCCTGAGGTGGCCGCACACGTTTGAAGAAACCCACCTGTAATGTAGAGAAGACATTATAGCAAGGAGTGAGATAATTCAGATGCTAGCAAACAGAATAACTCCATGAATAGGCCAAAGCAGTTTCTTGATTGTCGATAAAGCACCTTTATTGTCAATACATATAAAACTTATTTATAAGAATTTCACCAGACTGACTGCATTCTCTCGAGAATCCATAGATAAAAGCTTCAATAGTCTTGCCTCTGCCGTTTCCTCTCATGAAACAACTCTGTGCTGGAACACCTTTTTACTCCTTCCTCTCCTTTAATTGATGATTCCACCACAGATATATAGCAATTATTAACAAACTTTTCTCTCCATATAAACCTTGAGGCAAGTGAGCATGTGGATTAATGGTATTGTATCAGGTAAGTTGGAAAAATTTGATATACCGTACTAGTATAATCCTCTTACACAGAACATGCATAGTTGCATGAATGTATACATGCCATTTTGTATCATTTCCACAGAGAACCTTCAAGCAATAGTCTTGAGTTGGCCAAAAGAGCAACTATTTTCCAATTTAATTTCCAGCTTCCTCTCCGTCCCAGGAAAAAAACTGTAGCAAATGGCCATGGACAATATTTTTACAGGACAATCTTGTCTGTAAGCTAAAGTGTTCCAACTTCAGAAGCCATTGATCTCCTCTCCTTGCTGACACGATAAAAATAAGGATGGAGACACATTTCTTTGTACCACCCACCCCCGATTTCTGTCCCTTTTCAAGCCATGGAAAGGAAAAGAGTCTCATTGTCATTTATTTATTTTAAAAGGTCTTATATGACTACCCCATCTTACATATAGTAATCCTGAGTGGCTCACAGAAACACAACTGAAGAAGCATACAACCAGCATCAAAATAACTCTAGGTACCCCCAAATATGAATCCCTCATACCTGAACATTCACTTTTACTGAGCTGCAATCACAGTTTAGCCCAGTGGTTCTCAACCTTTTTAATGCCGTGACCCCCAACCGGTCATAAGTCGAGGACTAAACCGGTCGTAAGTCGAGGACTAAACCGGTCATAAGTCGAGGACTAAATCAGTCGTAAGTCGAGGACTACCCAACCGGTCGTAGGTCGAGGACTTTCCCTGCCCAGGAGCGCCGCGCATGCGTGGTTCCGCCCCCTGCGCCGGCCGAGGCGTAGCTGGCAAGCGGCAGAGATGGAGCAGGCCGACCACCAGCTGGCCCAGCCCAAGGGAGGTAAGGCACCCACCGGAAAAGGGGGGAAAAATGGCGGACAGCCTTGCTTGGCAACCCCCGTGAAATGGTCGATCGACCCCAAATGGGGTCCCGACCCATAGGTTGAGAACCGCTGGTTTAGCCCATAACTTGGGGGAAGAGCCAGCTCTTTATGGCCTTTTGAAAAGGCAGAAAGGTAGGGTTCTACTGGAACCTGGGGGGGGGAAGTATTCCACAAGGCAGGGGCAGGCATGGAGAAAGCAAGCTTCTTAGACTCCATAGTGTAATTGACAGGACCTGTAGTACCTCAACTATCCTTGATCTTCCTGGAAGGACCAAAAAGTCAGAGAGAGTCTGCCCCTCGATAACTAGGTTTTAATTGGTATGAAGGTCTTTATAGGTGATAGATAAGCATCTTGAACCACACCCATTACCTTTTGCGGGGCTTCCCAAAAAGTGAGGTTTCTCAATCACAAGGAGAGCCCATCTATTTATTTCAATCTAACAAAGGCAATACTTCCCCAGATAATAGTTAACGGAACTTTCTGGTCTTCACACTGGATTAAAATCAGAAATTATTTCAAATATTTAGTTTTGGTTTTTTTTGACAAAAATGGACAGGATTTGATTAAATATTCACTCACCTTGTGCATTATAAAAACGAGAAGGGCCAAAAGTAATAATCCTGCTAAGACAGCCAGTATGATTACCCATACTTGTACTGTCATTGGTGCTGGCTGAATACCCCACAAGATGTTTGTGGTAACCTAAAAAGGAAAGAAATGTCAACATATTTTACTGAAAAAATGAGTAAGATAAACTGGGTCAGGGATACAAATAGGAACTTCGTACCACGGTGCAAGATTTTCACCACCTGAGTCTGATAGGCTGAACTATACATTCCACAATGAAGGTCACAGAAAAAAGGTTTTATTGGCTTATGATTGAAAACCTATGGATGTTTTCTTGGCAGCGGTAGAATCTGAAGAATCAAGCTGTCTAAAACATTTCATAGAAATAAAAAAAAGTACAGGTTTCTAGCCCTTAAGACGACAAGGATATGTTTGAAAGACTAAGGAACTGGAATTCAGAAGATAAGGAGACACAACTTAAACAAAGGGATGGAGACAGAGCCTTACGGCTGCTTGTCTCCCACTCTGCCTTCTGCTTGAGATTCTCCATCCAGCTGAAAGTCAAATCCACAGGGATATCTTAGGAACTTTGCACATCATATTATAAAGGTTAAAACAGAAGGCCTTTAAAGTTTTCTGGCTTAATTTCATTGTCTTTTATGGAACTAAATTAAATTCACCCCATGTTTGCCAAGCGAAGACCATTCTAAACTGCACTATCAAATAAGATCAAATAAGACCATTCTAAACTGCACTATCAAACAACCTGCCTCCAGAAGCGGAACAATCTGCCTCCAGAAGCAGTGAATGCTCCAACACTGGAAGTTTTTAAGAAGAGACTGGACAGCCATTTGTCTGAAATGGTGTAGGGTTTCCTGCCTGAGCAGGGGGTTGGACTTGATGACCTCCAAGGTCCCTTCCAACTTATTATTATTATTATTATTATTATTATTATTATTATTATTATTATTATTATTATTATTATTATTATTATTATTATTATTATTATTATTATTATTATCACAACTAGATTTTTTTTCTTCCTAAATAGGAAACTGCACGCGTAACAGCTGCTTCCCCCGCCCCCTTCGACAAGTGAGTCCAAATTGGACAGCAGTCTTTAGGTCACTTCCAAAGCCCTTAAAAAGGCTCAAATTTAATAAACATTTAAGCAGCATGTAATCAGATGGTATAAATCTGACTACCAGCCGTGTAAGATTGCCTAGCAAAAACAGCAGAAGCTGATCAGATTATTGTTTCATTTCCTATTAATTACACTGACAATGTCAAATCTACTTTTGATTATCAAACCACTTACTATTGTAGAATTGTGGACATCTTCAGGAAAGGAAAGATTCTTATAGGGGAACTCGATGACATTGAAGGAAGCTGATGACTTGAGAGAATAGGAGTGGTTTTGGTTTTCTTTCTGTCACGGGAATAATGAAAGAGAAGTGTCCTATTAGAATCAGTTATTATCTGTACTCGGGAGCAGAGTGAAACTGCAGGAATAGCACCAGATACTTACAGTCATGAAAGTCTGAGCCCAAAGGCGAGATTTCAAATAGAGAATTGCAGTTTTTCCCCTCTCCAGGCGACCAACTTGGCAAAATATTTTTAAACAATCTGCGTTTCCACAACCCTGGCATTTAAAAAAAAAAGGAGGATAAAGAGAACAGTTGATTTTATTTAGTTACTCAACTACTTGTTAGATTTAATTTACATATTGTTATTTTCTAGCCCAGTGGTGGCGAGCCTATGGCACGCGTGCCAGAGGCGGCACTCAGAGCCCTCTCTGTAGGCACGCGTGCTGTTGCCCCAGCAGAGTTTACCAGAGTAGCGGGCACATGGCATTTGGAAGCCACAGGGCAGGAAGTGAGCAAGCAAGCAGTGGTGACCTCCCAGGGATGCCCCAGAGATGGCGAAGGACTGGCCCCGGCCACGCTCACCCAGTCTGTTGTGACCACTGCAGCCACACCCACCCAGTGGGCCACGCCCCCCATGCCTCCTCTGAGGGCACCACAATGCTGATGCAGCCCTGGCACTATGTGATAAATAAGTGGGTTTTGGGTTGCAGTTTGGGCACTTGGTCTCTAAAAGGTTCGCCATCTCTGTTCTAGCCCAAGAGTTGGTGATACAATCACACAAACACGCAAATTTCCACGGAGAAAGGGGGCAGAATTTCAATTGCATGGTTGTGGTTTCTGTCTTGATTTTTTTGATCCATGGATGCTCTGGTAATACTTATAAAATTATATTGTACAGCTGGTGTGCCATTTCCTTCTAAAGAAATTTACTGAGGGGGAAAAAAAAGACGGGAGATATAATTGAAGGAAAATATCCTTCAATTAGGCTTTTCTGGTTTCTGCACCTCTGTATTATTTGATTTATAAGTCAGGATTGTAATACCAAAAACCATATTTTACATTTTTAATTGAAATTTATATGATGTGATCTTCTGCATGTAATACTTCAGGCAAAATTAAGAAAAAGGAACAAAAGTGCNCTCTCTCTCTCTCTCTCTCTCTCTCTCTCTCTCTCTCATGGGACTTGCCGGAGGGCCGTGGGAGGGCCGCATTTATATAGAGCAGGGAGGGCTGCTCGAGGGCCGGATTAAACCGGGCCGCGGGCCGCAAATGGCCCGCGGGCCGGACTTTGGACATGTCTGGTGTAGGGTTTCCTGCCTGAGCAGGGGGTTGGACTCGATGACCTCCAAGGTCCCTTCCAACTTTATTATTATTATTATTATTATTATTATTATTATTATTATTATTATTATTATTATTATTATTATACTACCTGGTTACAACTAGATTTTTTTTCTTCCTAAATAGGAAACTGCACGCGTAACAGCTGCTTCCCCCGCCCCCTTCGACAAGTGAGTCCAAATTGGACAGCAGTCTTTAGGTCACTTCCAAAGCCCTTAAAAAGGCTCAAATTTAATAAACATTTAAGCAGCATGTAATCAGATGGTATAAATCTGACTACCAGCCGTGTAAGATTGCCTAGCAAAAACAGCAGAAGCTGATCAGATTATTGTTTCGTTTCCTATTAATTACACTGACAATGTCAAATCTAATTTTGATTATCAAACAACTTACTATTGTGGAATTGTGGACATCTTCAGGAAAGGAAAGATTCTTATAGGGGAACTCGATGACATTGAAGGAAGCTGATGACTTGAGAGAATAGGAGTGGTTTTGGTTTTCTTTCTGTCACGGGAATAATGAGAGAGAAGTGTCCTATTAGAATCAGTTATTATCTGTACTCAGGAGCAGAGTGAAACTTCAGGAATAGCACCAGATACTTACAGTCATGAAAGTCTGAGCCCACAGGCGAGATTTCAAATAGAGAATTGCAGTTTTTCCCCTCTCTAGGCGACCAACTTGGCAAAATATTTTTAAACAATCTGCGTTTCCACAACCCTGGCATTTAAAAAGAAGGAGGATGAAGAGAACAGTTGATTTTATTTAGTTACTCAACTACTTGTTAGATTTAATTGACAGATTGTTATTTTCTAGCTCAAGAGTTGGTGATACAATCACACAATCACGCAAAAAAAGGGGCAGAATTTCAGTTGCATGGTTGTGGTTTCTGTCTTGATTTTTTTTGATCCATGGATGCTCTGGTAATACTCATAAAATTATATTGTACAGCTGGTGTGCCATTTCCTTCTAAAGAAATTTACTGAGGGGGGTTTTTTTCTGCCCTCTATATTAACTTCCTTTTATAGGAAGTTAATCCGAAAAGACCAAAGACGTGGAGACATAATAAACTAAATATTCAGTCCTAACATTATGGTTTTTGGTATAAAATGTAAAAATTAACTTTAAATATACTACACTAGAAGACGTACATTATGAAGTCCGTTTTAATTCTTTTTCCTTGTTTTCACGCTCTTTTCACTGCCCTTCCTTTCACTGCACCTTTATAATGAAGCACTTTTAAAAATATGGTGCCACCACCCTGGAAATAAGCAACTGTAGAGAAGTCCTTAGTACAATCTTTTAAGAACTCCGGTGTTCCCAGGAACGTCTGGAAAAATGATTTTTTTGATAAAAAAAATATTCAGCTGGCGAATATGTTGCAGCAGCTTGCACATCACACATCAAAGGAGCATGAAGTGCAGTGAGGAAGCAGCATTAAATCATCCCTACTAAGGACCATTGAGATCCAACTTCTTTAACACTGCAGTGGCTGAGGTATTGCAATAAGAACTTCTCCATATACTTCAGGCTATACTTCAACTTGCCCCTGCTGGAGAATATACCATAAGGAGAAACGATGAGCTGGATGCAACAGAAAAATGAGTTCCTTCCACCAGAAGTCACACATTAACCAAGCTTCCAAACAACTGTTCTTAACTGCAGCTCCCGAACTTCTCTAACTCAAGCTTGATTCAAGGATTAACCATTTAGAGACTGGTTTTCCATTGGTTTAATGATACCGTAATATCAAAAAAAATATACACTAAGGTGAAATTGGTTTGAACAACTTAAAATTCAAAATGTATTGCTTATAAGGCTGAGTAACAGTGTGAAGCCAAAGGTTTGCTTTCTGATTTTGGTTTTTCTTCTGTTTAGAGCCTGCTGCCTGCATGTATTCCACGTATTACTCTCAGGTATGTCCTGGTGTATTCGGCTGTTATTTGGCCCTGATCCTAATTTATATTTCTACCAGCTAAAATTTACCAGATTCTTAAGTCATTGAACTTAGTTTGATTTTTCAGAGACACTCTGTTCTCCTATATTTGTACCTGACGCCTCTCTAAACCAAAGGGAAACGTCTGTTGAAGATGTGGACTGCTTTGAACATATCACATTTTATTAATCTTTCATCAATATTGATATTTTGAATTATTCATTGAAAAACATCCAGACAATTTCAATTCCACTTACAGTCTTAAAAGATTGAAATAGTTTAAAAATTCTGTACAGATAGAGATGGAGTCAGAGACGGAGACAAGACAGAGACAGAGAGATAGGTAGGCAAACAGGTAAGTAAGCAGGCAGATAGATTCCCTATGATTGTCTGACAAAGAAAAGAAGTTGTTCAGTCAATGAAGTCTAGGGATCAGAGAAAAACAGAGAAAAACTAAAGAAGCAACTGTACTCCCAACTTGCTCAGTAGCAGGCCTTATATTTTTTTTTTGTCTTACTTTATCCATAGCCCAACTGTACTCTGACCAACTAGAGCAGGGGTCTTCAAACTTGGCCCTTTTATGACTTGTGGACTTCAACTCCCAGAATTCCTCAGCCAGCGTGCCTGGCTGAGGAATTCTGGGAGTTGAAGGCCACAAGTCATAAAAGGGCCAAGTTTGAAGACCCCTGAATTAGAGCAATAAATTGATTCCAGTATTTGCTTCACAGAAAAATTAAAATATTCCTAAACATCTGAACTTTCTTCTAAAATATTGACAAAGGACTGTTTGTAAAGCAGTTAGCACATAGATTTTACCAAAGTTTGTACATCTTCCTCTGGAACACTTAGATCTCGCCGATGGATTTGGTGATTGCGGATATCTTCTCCACTAAGCGTTTCATTCCTTTCATCTTGCTGAGAAGTTGATACCTGTATAATCAAGATAGGTTTGATTACTGGCACATTTCCTGGACAAACTCTAAATGCTGTTAATCCATATTTATTTGTAGATATAACAATGTGTGATCCACTGCAACAGGCTGTTCCCCTACCCACGTACAACATCAAAGAGTCAATACGCAATGAGGAAGCCAGAAGCAGCACTGGGATGAATGAAATGAATGCACAAACCCCAAAATGATAAACTACATCATAGAGAATATTGCGGAACACCTATAAAATGACAGAATATTTCAGGCATTAACTCTATGATATGAAAATAACTGATTGAAGATAGGATCCTTCATGGAAAAAAAGGATTGTCACAGTCTTTTTAAACTAGGAGTTGAAGCTGCTTCTTCCAGCTATTTTCATAGGTTATACTAACGTGATCACCTCTATTTATCTACTTAGTATAGGTGGCTCTACTATCCCATTAAAATTGTTTATTTTTTCCCCTGTTGATGCCAAACATTCATTATTGCTATAATTATTGATAATAATCCATACAGTTTAACACATAGACAGATAGTTAGCTTGGTATTCAGAGAGTCTGAATAGGCTTCCTTTTACCTTAATTTTTAGTGGGTTAATCTCCATATCAGATGTACAGTTCATGGGTCCTTCAATTTCATATTTTATAATATATAAAAGAGTATTATTGTTGTATTTATATGGCCACTGAAGATTGAGCATCAGCTTGCTGAAGGTACTTGGACCGTTGTTTCTGAGCTAACAAAGAAGTGGAAAAGGAATCAGTTTAATAGGAACCATATTCAGAAGTGGAAAAGGAATCAGTTTAATAGGAACCATATTCAGTGAATCAGTCAGCTTCCAAAGCAGGTTGTGCAAGGCATAAACTGGCTAGAAGTGCATAAACTGGCTAGAAATGGAACTAGTGTAAGAAATCCCTTTGGGATTTCAACCTTTTCTGCCTCTTTTGCCAGGGCTATCACTAGGCATAATTAAAATGGTTCTGATTGGCAGAATCCCTTGCTTTTGATCCATCCCACCCATACCAGGAAAGCAAGCATCAAACATAATCTTTCAGAACACCGATAACCTTTTGCATGAGCTGCTCTGTTGAGTCCCCCATATACTTGACAGTTTGATATACCTACCAGTGGACTGGCAAAAGAAATATCAATATTTTACCTTGTGCACAATTTGTGGAGAACTCTTGTCAATTTCATTTAAAAGATACATGTTTCATTTCCTTATCAGTGAACTTCTTTAAAATAAAAAGTCTAGCCTTTTACTAATTTCACCAATTTCACATTGTGCCCATCTCTTTCCTTCTATTTTTGGCTCTTTTTCTACTCATTTAATCACATCATGACCAGATGGCTGAATGGGGTAGAGATGACAGGAAGAAATGGTCACAGAAAAACAACTGGACAGCCCAATGGTGAAATGAAGGGGGGGAAATCCATCAGAAGGGGAGATTTTTCAGAAGGAGGCAGACAGTTTGAAGATCAGGACAAAATAAGTGTGCAGGGCAGTAATCAGTGACAGGAGGGACAAAATGTTCTTGACACAAAGCACAGTAACCACTTAGAGGAAATTTCATTTCCCTTCTATGAAATAAAACACAGCAGATGAAATGGACTGCAGTGTTGTGCCAGTGTGAATTAACAAACACCAGTCATGGTGTTGCTATGGAGTTGGCCAGCTTTAGTAATATGACAAATAAATAAACAAATAAGGTGAAGATTGTTCCATAGTGGGCTTAGGGTGGATAGAAAATGACATGACACATTCCTTCCCCTGGGAAATAATATGTATCACATGCACATGGTTGGTCATGCAGATCAACCCATAGAATATGGCAATGTATGAGCTTCATTTAACTTAATGAGACCAAAATAGGCCTAGGATAGAGAAGGTCAGATTAAATTGCCTTGATTCTGATAAGTGCATGGTTATAGAAGGCTGTAATATTCCACATATGTGTTGAACTGGCCATGCTGGCTGGGACATGTTGGAGTTGAAATCCAGTAGCTACAGAAGACAAAAGTTTAAAGAAAGCAGGAGTAAAAGAGTGCCTGAAGGAGATATTTGGCTTTTACTTTGGAAATCAGTAAAGCACCCATAGGGTTATTTGGTCAGCTTACTGATACAACAAGAAGTAATGGTGAAAAAAAAACATTTTGTGTCTTCAGGATCTATGATTATTATTTATTGTTCTGAGCATCAACATACCTCATAGATGTGTTGAACTAAAGGTCCTATGTCATCCTCTGTTTCTGGATTTTCTTTTGGTTGCCAGTTGGGAATTGGGAGGAAAATATGATCAGGAGAGGAGACCCTAAGTTGGATGAGGAACAAACAGGAATGAATGGACACGGTACGTGGAGCAGAACCCTCAAAACAAGACAGAGGTTGTGAAAGGATCAGCACTCACCCTCTGATTTCTACAGCAGCTGAAATGGCCAGATCCACTTGATATGAGATCACAGGGCTTAGGTTGTTAAACAAATTGGAGCTGTAGAATAATGCAGTTACATGGTAAGGAGGTTCAAGTTTTGAAATGCCATCAGATTCAGAAGTTTGGCTATACCAGAGATGTAGCACTGAATTCTATTCGGGAGCTAATTTTTCCTCTTCCTTTCTATCTTTTTCTTTAGAATTTTTTTTAAAATGTGTGTAAGTGTTCCCTCCTGCTACTCTGCAGAACATCAAAGAGGAAATTTATAAATGGAATATATTCTCCTCAAAGGAGGTAGTCTGAAAAATCCCAGGCTCCTAGGTGCCCACTAAGGATGATAAAACTGCTCTTCTTTTCATAGTTGCATTTGTAAGGTCAGTTATTTGGAGTCTTTTTGTCTAAACATTCTAAAGTGTTGGATAGGGGGGGAATAGGGTGAATGTTGCGTTGCCACTGAAGTTGCTCGTAAGGACGAACTACTGCTATGGTGCTGCAATATTCGTAATTTTGGGACTTGCTCGTAAACACTAGGGGGCGCTCATCACGTAACTTTGAACGAGCGTTAAGTGAGTGCTCGTAACTCGGGGATAACCTGTACTAAAATACCTAACTACTAATTTTGTAGTTAACAACAATTACTTTGGGTGCCATCTTAAAAAAGGTTTAAAACAGAGTTGGTTTAGAACAAACCAATTCTTTAAATACAAAGACCACCAAATCTATTAAGTAAAAGGACACTTTGAAATATTCCAGTTCAGATACTAATGGCCCAAAAGGCTAGAAATGAAACTGGAACTATATACGAGGGCAATTTGGAAATAAACCTCTGTCTGGTTGTCAATGACAGACACTCGGAGATACAGAACTTTTATTATACACATTAGAAAACTACAATATTATATTATTTTTCGACATGTGCGGGTGAGCATTATCATGAACCAACACCACACTGGAAGTCAGCATGCTCCGACGCTTGTTATGGATGGCTCATCTGAGTTTTTGTAACGTTTCACAGTAGACTTCTGAATTGATGGTCGAACACGCTCCATGAATTTCACTAGCAGAACTCCTTTGGCATCTTCACATTTGGCGGGATTTTCTATGGCACCACTTCCAATATGGTGTTAATTCACGATAATGCTTGCCCGCACACCGCTAGACGCACCCAAGAACTTTTGAAGCATTCCATTGGGATATTTTTGATCACCCCCCCAATAGCCCAGATTTGGCGCCGAGCAACTACTACTAAGGAATTTCAAACCTTGTAAGACTTTATGACAAGTGCCTCAATTTGAATGACAATTATGTCAAAATTAATGTAATGTAGTTTTCTAATGTGTATAATAAAAGTTCTGTATTTGCGAGTATCTGTCATTGATAACCAAACGGAGATTTATTTCGAACTGCCTTTGTATATTTAAGACTAAAATACTATGCTCCTATATTTTCATCTTACACAAGGTTTTCCATATTTTAAAGTATTAAAAGTAACATAATTAGTACCAGATAATCATATTTCATTATAACAAAAACACATTATGTATGTGTTCCTTACCTACGGATCTGTAGATCAAACTTGACAGACGTATCCATCTCAGATTGTTGATGAACACTAAAATGAAGACCAGCTGAGAGCTTTAACACAAGAGAAAATATACAGATTTTAATAGGCAACATCCAGAAAGAGACTCAAGCTTGGATACTACTGTAGCTCTGAATCAAAGTGTGACGCTGTCTCTCTATCCCATTCTAGCAAGTCCTGCTCTATGGATGGGTTCTCCCCTTCTTTCTTCCAAAGACAGCAAACAAAGAGATGAATTCATTCTTACCTTTGTTCCTGCTTTCATAGGATTTCCAAGATCACAGACAACCAACCGAGTTTGATTCTCGGTCTTAAATGCACATGAAAGTCTTGCGAGAGCCTGCAATGAATGCAATTTTTTTTTTCAAAATTAAATAGCCAAGGTACAATAGTTTGTTTGGTACACCAGGTAAAGTGCTCAGATACATCATAAAATAATCATGACACTTAAAATAATAAATTAATTGGCTTAATTTACTGGTCATCAGATGCAAAAAAAAGCAACAAAAAATGCATCTGCACTTTCTCCTGAAAGAGTGAATTAAGTTCGTAGTCTAATTTTTTCACTTATACTTACATTTTTCCAAGCAACTTCAACCATCATTATAATAACATCATTAGGCATATGATGCAAGATTTTGAAAACAGATGCCAATGTCATAAAATGTGGATTTAACAGACATTCAGAAGTAACAGATACCACTTCCCCTAAACCAGGGGTAGGCAACCTTGGCTCTTTTATGACTCGTGGACTTCAACTTCCAGAATTCCTGAGCCAGCATAGCTATGCTGGCTCAGGAATTCTGGGAGTTGAAGTCCACGAGTCATAAAAGAGTCAAGGTTGCCTACCCCTGCCCTAAACATACCATGATACATTTAGGTTTTGCTGCATTATATTCTTTTTATGGCTATCCAGACGCCTAGTACCAAAAACTCACAGAAATTCCAATACGTTACAATTTTCCTTGGTTGACAATGTAAAATTATAACTGAACAAAATCCAGTAATAGCTTTTCAAAGGCAGAAAAGCTGAAATAAATAGGTTTTTTGTTAAGAAACCATTACAGAACAATTTTAGCAACTGTGGTATATTAAACGTGAGACCAATGTTTAGTGAAATCAAGACTAAAAGACGTTGTATTTTTCTTCTGCCCAAACAATGTAATGGGCTTCATGGTCCTCTCTTTGGGGAAGGAGACCTGGTTTCCATTTGTATTTGGGTAATGGACTGATCTGTTACCAGCTCTCACACAAGATACAGAAGAATAGCTGGATTGGGAGCTGATCCTGAGACTTTTTGCACTGAAAGCTTAAGCTTAAGCTTTGAGCTACTACTCCAATGAGTAGCAATAATGAGATCATTCACCCAGGTCCTCAAGACATACCTCGTTGTTGCGAACTATACCAATGAAGTCTGCTTGTGGTGGGATGGTTACAAACAGTTCAGCTTCATAGGCTCCCTCGCCTAAGTTCTGAGTGTTGACAATTAGGGTTAATGGATTGTCGTCTCCAATGTAGATTTGTTTCTGATCACTGCAAAAAACCAAGACAAAATAAAAGTGATCCCTCTTCATCAAAATATTTTTTTTTTCCAAATAAGACCTGTAGTCCAATGTCAGGATGGGAAACTGCACTCCCTACCTCTATGGAGTTCTTTTTAGAAGTATTTTGAAGCAGAGAAGCAGATTAGATTTGTATCAAATACAAATGCAAAAATCACAGGCAGTTATATAGTAAATTCCTATACATTGACCAAGAATCAGTAGCAATAAGAGAAGATAAAGAGATTTTTTTTTCTTTCTGCTTCTATTACCATTACAAGCAATTAGGATTTTCTGAAAGCTCCCCAGGAAGTAAAAGCACAACTATCCTTTGCTATAGAAGAGGGAATCTGAACCATGCAAGATCCCTGAATTCTGCTGCCCTAAGTCATCCTGTTTTAATAATGTTAACGATCCTAGGCATGATTGATTGATTAGCCAGTTTCAACTCTTAGTGAAAACATAGATTCTCCACGAAGATCTATACCTAACCGGGTCTTTCAAGTCCTCCAGTGGTGCACCCATCACCATGGCGATTAAGTCCGTCCATCTTGTTTTGGTTGTCCTCTTCTCTTTCCTTCCACCTTTCTCAGCATTAGAGCTGTCTTTAGAGAGCTAGGTCTTTGCACAATGTATCTGAAGTAGGTTAATCTGTACCTGGTTTCATGTGCCTTGAGTGAGAACTATGGATTGATTTGTTCAATGATCCATTTGTTTGTTTTCTAGGCTGTTCACAGGATTCCCAGGAATCTTCTCAAACACCAAAGTTCAAAAGTGTCAATACTTTTTTTGTGTGACTTCTTCAAGTCCAACTTTCACTTCCATCCAGTCTCACAGGGAATATTATTGCCTGCACTGTTTTAATCGTTGTAGGTTAGACCCTTCACAACATTTGAATATCTTGTTGAAGGTCTTCATGGCTGTTCTACCAAGCATTACCATACAAACAATACTATCCTGGGCTTTATCTTTATGCTTAGGGGCAATTAATAAAGTTATATCATTCACAAGTTCATGTTTGAGCCCCAACACATTTTGCCCCTTTTATTGCTTTTATAAGTTAAGGCAATTCAGGATAAATGAATGTAGATTAGAGAAATGACAGGAGGAAGATAACTCTTTAATTGCTTCTCATATAGCAAATGTTGCCTCTTCTTTGTATCTTCTGCTTGCAGAGTCAAGATTTCTGTTTGTGATGGTTAATTTATATTTTATATAGGTACATTAAAAGCTACATTAAAGGCAACACGGAGGAGAAAAAAGAAGTTTCCAATAGAACTTGTCTCTGTTGATCATTTCCCCTCCTTTGGCAAAATGATTTTTCTTTAAAATGGTACTTTCATTAAATATACTTTGTTGTCTCTCTGAAGTTCAGTCTCAAATTCATTTGATCTTTTGCATTTCAACAGGTGTAGTTTAAAAACTCTACAACAGTTGCACATTTGGAGGACTGAACTCTTGTCTTAAAAAAACTAATATACAAAGATGTTTAAATTCATTTAATTTCTTTTAATATAATTTAAATGGCAAAGTCTCTAACCACAGTTTCCAGGCCTATCTAAAGCAGGAAACTGTGGTTAACTCTATGATTTAACATCATGAATTTTTGTGGAAGTGATATTCTGCCTTGTTTGTTAGCAAGGCAATTAGCAAGGCAGTCAGCAGATTTTCTCAGGGTAAACAAATAGAATATCATATTCAAATAAATGGTTCCTAGTTTTATTACTCACGTGAGGCAAAAGTGAAAGGGCTGCAGGCATGGGCTAAAGATCTTTCATTTCCTACCTTAAAAAGTGAGGTATGATATGCTGAATTGAGTCACTGTTGTTGGCAAATCAAGATGGGCATAAAATCACAGAACTCCAAACATTTCACCATTAATTCAACATTCAGCTAGCTTGGCAGAAGTTTCCCAGATACGATTTAGCTAGATCAGAATAAATACTGCAGACAAGAATGAAGCCTCTCAACACAACTGATTGCCCACTGCAGTGGGGAGAAGTCAGGGACCTTAGAATCTATTCTCTGGGTTTCTTCCTTCCATTCTTCCAAATTAGTAGATACTTGGCTGATTGCTTGATGTTCAACTGCCGAGACACATGAACCTAATAGCTCTATGTTGAGAACCACTAGGCCAGGGGTAGGCAATCTTGACTCTTTTATGACTCGTGGACTCCATGAGTCATAAAAGAGCCACAGTTACCCCTGCACTAGGCCCTGGATTGCCAATTTCTGTTTTTATGCCCTGTCTTTACATTTGTGCTTATTTACCCATTTGTTAATCATATTTATATACTTCCAGAATCAAAAATCAACCAGAATTTACCTGTCAACAGTCACTTTTAAATCTGGGCGGCAGATATTATCTTCCCCACAATCCAAAAGAATATGAGCCTAAATTTGAGAAAATTTAAAATTAAAATTAAATCCCAAATACAGTAACTTTTAAATCTGGGTGACAGATATTATCTTCCCCACAATCCAAAAGAATATGAGTCAAAATTTGAGAAAAAATAAAATTAAACCACAAATCCCTGACTGTTTTTCTTGCTTTGTCAGATTACTGAAGACTGATGTAACTCACTTTCATTTTATTTTGGCACTAAGCCAAGTAGTAATATAAAAAACTTTTCTTGTGGGAATAAATTTTGCAATACTGATGAATAGCAAAATATCAGCTTGGTGCTTGCATCCTTGGCTCAAGAAACAATGTTCTTCTCTGACTCAGAAAAGGGAGAATAACATCAAAGAACTACTATTTCTTTTAAAAGAGAAATCTATACAATTTGGTTAGAAAAATTAACCCAAAAGGGGGGGGGGAGTTTAATATCCTTTCTTTCTCTAATACAACACACCAAGAATAAATACAATGAATTTGTTAAAATATTTATATTTCTTAAAAACATCATTAACATTTAAAAACTTGCTGGTTGAAAAAAAAAAAAAGCATATTACATTTCCCAGCTTTATACCTGTCTGCTAATGTTTGCAGGCGTGAACTGGTTGAGGATGGGCTGTAAACCAGTAGAATCCAAAGCAGTTTTGTAATCCAGTTGATATTCCATGAATATAGTAATTGGAGTAAGCTTATCTCGAAATTCAGATTCATCCTAGAAGAGAGAAAATGGGGGTGGTGGTGTATGTTTTAAAATAAAACAAAAATCAGAACTGCAGAATTTGGCGACTATGACTTCTGTCAAATGTTGTTTGAGGGAGATAGGGTCAGAAAACAGACATCACAAGTCTGACTGAGCTCTACTTTATTGATATAAAATATAGTAACAGAAAACTGAAAGCCTGACTGATTTTTTTTCTTCCTCCTCCCTATCTCCCTCTTGCACTCTGCTGAATTAGAAAGGAGTCGGTCTGTATTTGCTTGCCACACTTTCTGTTTCCTGTGAGGAAAGCATGTTTTTGCAGATGTTATTTCTGTCTAGTTTTTCCAGTCATTTCTATTGCTCTCTACAAGACTCTACCACAAATATTTGCAATTATCTATATGCATTGGCCTAATGGTAAAGAGAAAAATAATCAGCTGACAAGTTCGAGCAGGATAAAAGAGTCAAAGCACTACTGAGATCAATGGGTAAAGTGTCTCATTTCTTTATGATTAGTTTTCTCCATCATTGTGTGGAATTGAGGCAATTCCAAAGAAAATGTTTGACTCCAAACACTGGATCAAGAAATGTGACCATCCACATGGCTCAATATTCCATTTTATTTACAGTTGGACACATTTGGACTTTTTGCATGGACACAGCCATTCCATTTAAAAATATAGGGGAAAGATATCTACGGTAAAACTAGATCAGGGGTAGGTAACCTTGGCTCTTTTATGACTCGTGGACTTCAACTTCCAGAATTCCTGAGCCAGCATAGCTATGCTGGCTCAGGAATTCTGGGAGTTGAAGTCCACGAGTCATAAAAGAGCCAAGGTTGCCTACCCCTGATAATATGCAAATCATTAAGTTGGTTCTTAACACTGGAAGCTGCTAAGATAAACCATACCACACAAAAAGAAAAAGTAAGCCAGGGCAAAGTACAGTTGTGTATTTTTACCCTTAAAAAAGCATCAAGTTCTTCACAACTCTTTCGACCTCCTTTGGAGACTGTCATGTTCTTTGAGTGACCAGGTTGTCTGTTGTGGAGAAACAGAGCTCGCCTTATGGCACCTTTTTGTTTAAGTTTGTCCAACAGGAGCTCCACATGGAAAGCTATCACCAAACACAAAAACATTTTAGTAACACAGCCTTTAGATTTGTGTGTTCCCTGCAGCAACCATTGGTAAGGTGTTTTTCTCAGAGGTTAGAAAGGCTGCCACTAAGAAGCATTCAAGGGAGATCCAACACCATTCATAATGGGTGTTAACAAGGGTTGCAGAATGCAAATATGTGGGCAACTGCTCTTGCCCTTTATACTAGATATCTTAGAGGACTTTTTTATATGCCTACTTCGATGCCTTGTTCTCAAAGTGAAATAGGAGGTGTATGCTCTAGTGCAGAGGTCTCAAATTATTATGAGGAGTCCATATGGACTAGTTCATTAGCCTAAAGGATGCAACATACTTTTCATTCATTTATACAAATGCTACTTATTTTTAATCACTACAGTTTATTCTATTATATATATAGCCCAACAGAAGATGCTGAATCACACTTTCCACCATCCATAGCAGTTCCAGCTAAAGATAAGGGATGGTAGGTGTAGCAGTTAAGCAACATTATGAGGATGGCAGCCTCAAAGAGGCCATTTGAGTTGACAGCTGTTGATACTTAGCACCTTGCCTGACCCTCCAGATTCTTCCTCACCTACTCTGCCCTAGTGACATACTGGGCTCGTAAAAGTTGACTTAGGGAGAAAAGGGGTAGTACCTGCTTGCCTTCATGTTTATGATCTTATCAATGTGCCCAACCCTTCCCATAGAAAGCCCCCAAGCTTTCTTGGATGGAAAGACTAAGAATGAGCCTCTCCGAGTAAGCAAACAAACACATGATGTAAAATAATAACAGGATGACAGAGTTGGAAGGGGTCCTGGAGGTCTTCTAGTCCAACCTCCTGCTCAGGCAGGAAGCCCTAAACCATTTCAGACAAATGATTGTCCAATCTCTTCTTAAAAACTTCAAATGTTGGAGCACCCAAAGCTTCTGGATTAGTTCCACTGATTGATTGTTCTAACGGTTGGGAAATTTCTCCTTAGTTCTAGGTTGCTTCTCTTCTTGATTAGTTTCCATCTATTGCTTCTTGTCCTGCCTTCAAGTGCTTTGCCCCTCTTCCTTGTGACAGCCCTTCAGATAATGGAAGATTGCTATCATGTCACCCTGAGTCCTTCTTTTTATTAGACATACCCAATTCCAGCAACTGTTCTTTATATGTTTTAGCTATATATGCTATATATATTTATATGATATATAAAGGTGGGATGGATTCAGCTCTGAAAATGTGCTAGAGGACCCTATGTTACCTGTGAGTTTAAGAACTATGTTCTATCATGAACTTCATATGCAAATGTATTCACATTCTCATCTTGGCAGATATTTGCAGCAACTGGATGACCAGGGCACTGAGCTATTTTGTGTGCCCTCAATCCTTATGTTCACGGTCTGATAAATAATTAATCCTGAGCTTTCGATATCAGAGGCCAGATGGATGTTGTCTGCCAGAAAGCTCAAACTGCTTCTAAAGTAAATCTGTTTCTGGTCAGCAATCAGCACAAACCCATCAGCCACATTCTAGGTAGTACTGAGCAGCTTTGTTTATGTCTTACACTGATGGAGCTTGGACTAGCTCCCAAAGTTTAAAGACTGTCAATTTATAGTATGAACACACAAGTGCAGTATGTTAAGCTATTATTTTACACGTGCAGTAAAACAAATCTACAGAACTTACTGAGTTCCGTGGGCAGATTCCCTTTGCCGTCAGCTTTTAAGCAGAACTTCACTTTAAAACTATTAAGAGAATTAAAGAATAATTAAAAGACAATAATTTTTTTGGAGATGAGACAGGCCAAGTGCAAGATGTAAACCTATGAATATTGAAAGGGTATGCATTCTCATGTGGTCTCAGACCAGAGTTTCAGGACTGGGACTAGGATCCAACTCCAGTGCAAGATTCTTGATCCCAAGAGTCATTAAATTTAGTTTTAAAATAAGCCTTTACCACTTCTTCAATTTGCAATTATTAAATGTATGTTATTACTGGATTAACTGATCAGTTCTATATGTACAGAGCAATTTTAGATACTTAATTTCAATCAACTTTGAGGAGTCTAAGATGTGCTGTATATTTGAGACTGAAAGAGGAAGCTCAAGAAACTTTTCACATAGTTGTAAGTCTCATCAAAAGATTGGGGAGGGAATGATTAGACCAGTGGTTCTCAACCTTTTTAATGCCGCGACCCCAACCGGTCGTATGTCGAGGACTAAACCGGTCGTAATTCGAGGACTAAACCGGTCATAAGTCGAGGACTAAACTGGTCGTACATCGAGGACTACCCAACCGGTCGTAAGTCGAGGACTTTCCCTGCCCGGGAGCGCCGTGCATGCGTGGTTCCGCCCCCTGCGCCGGCCGAGGCGTAGCTGGCAAGCGGCAGAGACGGAGCAGGCCGACCACCAGGTGGCCCAGCCCAAGGGAGGTAAGGCACCTGCCGGAAAAGGGGGAAAAATGGCGGACAAAAAAAATGGCGGACAGCCTTGCTTGGCGACCCCCATGAAATGGTCGATCGACCCCAAATGGGGTCCCGACCCACAGGTTGAGAACCACTGGATTAGACAAAGGCATGGGCAAATTTACACCATTCAACAGAGTACTACTTTTCTGAGTTGAGTTAGCCTTCAGTTTTGTTCTTAATCATTCAAGAAAAAGCTTAGAATTCAGATTCATGGAACTCAGCACAATTCAAATGGGGCTTTACATCCTATACAATGAATCTAATTCCTTTCTCATTTGGAGCAGCCTTTTACAGTGTTATAAACATGAAGAAGGATTTCGACATAGTCCGCTGCTTTCGAAGAAAGGAAACTGAGAATCAAATATAAGGAACCAACCTTCTGTAGTTAAAATCATGCATTTAAATCCTGCGAGAAGACTAGGAAGCACGGTGAAAGGAAAGACACTCGCCCTTGCATTATTCACTTTCATCAGCTACACATGTTCCTGGTTCCTTAATTTGACTTACAATGTTAATTGTAAGTGGGGAATCTATTGAACTTACCAAGAAACCTTTTGACCATTTTCTTCACAGATTTTGTTCTCTGGATTTAAAATTGTTGGGGTAACTTCTAATCCAGCATTCACAGTAATGACTGGTCGGGCTCTTTGAAAAGAAACAAAGAAAAACTAGAAAGAGGCACCTGCATGAAGTTGTATATACAAAGGGTTTGAAGAAGCAAGTAGAAAACAGCGAGAGGTAAAATGTTTTGGACAACAATTTTAAACAGAAATAGTCGCCAACCTAATCAAGAGATTTGGACAACTCTGCTGTGAGAATTGGGTTTTGTTTTTTTTTTGGCTTAGGTATCCACAAAGCTGTAGAAAATTATGCATGGAACAGACAAAGAGAATGAAGAGACATTTTCTCCTGTTTTCATAGTACAGGAACTTAAAATCAGCTAATAAAGTTGAATGGGGAGAAATACCAGGGAAATTAGTATTTTTAATATTTTCCTCCCAGCACATAGTCAGAATTGGTGAATTTATTCCAATAAGATACAGGAATAGCTAGCAACTTGGATGGCTTTAAAGAAAAAGAATCAAATTCATGACAAATAAATTTTCAAGTCACAATGGCTTCTAAATCAGAGACAGCATGTTCCTCAATAAAGATTGCTAAGTAATTGCAGAGACAAGTGGTTGTGACTAAGGTCTGGTTTATAATAATAATAAAGTTGGAAGGGACCAACCCCCTGCTCAGGCAGGAAACCCTACACCATTTCGGACAGATGGCTGTCCAGTCTCTTCTTAAAAACTTCCAGTGTTGGAGCATTCACCTCTTCTGGAGGCAGGTTGTTCCATTAGTTAATTGTTCTAACTGTCAGGGAGTTTCTCCTTAGTTCTAGGTTGCTTCTCTCCTTGATTAGATTAAAGCATGCCTGCCATTTAATAAGAGCTATTTTTATTTCTTTTCTAGTTGCTTACAAGAACTGGACTTCTCTATTAATATTCTTCTGAAAACTTACCTGTATAAAGCAACTCGGTCAACACCAAAAGCTCCTACAATCAAATCTGGAAGCAGAAAAAAACATATGCAGATTTTTAGATTGGATATTTGTCTACAGTTGTCTACACCATGATTATTAATATTTTAGAACTAAATAAAATAAAATAAAATAAAATAGGGCTTTCCCTGGGTTAAATGCTACTGTAATCCATACAATCTTGCATTGTATTATATTCAGTTGTGTCCACTATCTACAATGGAATGCAAAATAGAGTCTCTACATTCCTCAGCCTTGTTCTACACAGCAGGGAACATTCTAGAGAAGATTTGAGGGGGGGCACAAGGGGGTGAGTTGGGAATAGAAAGAGAGAAAGATCCATTGCATAAATGCTAATATATTTGCAATCTACTGAACATAAGCCATTATCGCTATAGAAAAATCACCTGGGTAGCCATTTTTGTCTACATCAATAGCTCCTTTCAGGGCATATCCAAAACTTGGTGGCATTGCTTCAGAGGCCCATTGTCCTTCAAGGACCTGAGATGGCATTCCATTCAATCCTGTGGCTCTCCCATTGTAGATATAAACCAGTCCTTTCTTGTCTTCTCCACCGTAAGGTGCTGCAACTGCTATGTCTGCAAGCAAAGTGAAAAATGCCTGGCATCTCTAAATATGAACAAGTACAGGGGCTATGGAATGAAGGTCCATGGATTAATTTAGACTAAGCCAATCTACATTTCAAGCGGGGTTCTGCCATAAACCATTTAAGTCAGCAAGGACAGTGGATTTTCTTTTAAGCATGGATTACAGCCAATTCAATCTGATAAGATACATTTTCAAATTAGTAGTGTAACGGTAGTCCTTGACCTATGCTCATTTGTTCAGTGACTGCTTGAAGTTACAATGGTGCTGCTCCTCTGAGTTCCAGCGGTCCCAGCACCCCCACAGTCATGTGATTGCAATTGGGGCACGTGGCAATCTGTTCAGACTTACAATCAGTTGCCTTGTCCCATAATCAAATGACTGCATTTGTGACCTTCCCTGCCGGTTTCTCCAGAAAATCAATGGGGAAGATGGCGGGAAAGGTTGCAAGTGGCTAAAGTAAGTCTCCCCCATCTGCATACCCTCTCCAAGCCCCTCTTATGCTCGTGCCATGCCAGTTATGCACGCACCCTTTCTGACCTTGCCCTGTCTCCCTCGCATCCTCAAGCATCCCCTCATCCCTTCACACACTCCATCACACTCTCCCTGACCTGTGCCTCTCGTACACCCCTTGCACCCTCCCCAACCTGCATACCCCCTCGTTCCCTCTCCCAGCTGGCAGCAGTCACTTACCTGCCTGGGAGCCTGGCTCTTGAACTTCCAGCCAGCTTCTCCATTGACTTTATCTGTGGGAAGCTGTCAGGAAGTTGCCTTGCCTAACAACTGTGGGAGTTGGTTAACTACAGCAAGGAAGGAATGCAGGGATTGCCGTCACTAAGCAATGTTGTCATGCTTTACAACCACATTGCTTAGCAACAGACCTTCTAGTCCCACTTGTCGTTATAAGTTGAGAACTATCCAGTTTAAAGATATATTTTCAAATTCAAAGTGTCAAGGAATTTAGCACTAATCCTATTAATTGGAGATAACTTTACGTAAGGTAGTACTTGATACAGAAGTAGAGGTCATTCCGCAGTTAAAATAAATGCAATGTGTTATTCTTTATTTGTGCAGTACTTTTTCAAAGCTTCATATTTTAAAAAGATACATTAACTCAAAACAACATTTGCTTGCTAGATTAGAGCAAGGCCTATCAAAGCATTAAAATAACAAAAAAAACAAAAAACCCATTTTGAACCAAACCACAGGGTTTAATCAAGTTATAACTAAAAAGTTTAAAATCCCTGCAGTGCGAAAAAGTTGAATCAACACAACAGTAACAACAACGACAACGCCTGAATGCATTACCATTGAAGCCATCCTGGTCAAGGTCTCCCAAAGGGGCAATTGAACTGCTGAATCTTGCAAAGACTTCAAAGCCATTCAACTTTATGGCTGAACTTTGAAACCCTCCAGAGGCTTGTTGGAGGTAAAGAGACACCTGGCCCACTTCCAGAAGCTTGCCATCTGAACCACGATCCATAAAGAGTGGGGCACCTACAAGCAAATCTGCATAGCTAAAGTTGGGGGCAGAGGGAGAGAGAAACGGAGAGAAAGATGTTCATTCAACACAAAGACTGCCTCTGTTATATACATCATTGTAGCCCATTATTATGCTTCATGGAGTACACAGCGATTGGGAGAAGGAGGAGAGAATGAATAGCCCAAGAATACAAGCAGCTGGGTATGACTGGAATTGAATCCCAGGTCATATCTCTTGCAGCCTAAAGAATTATAAAATAAACAAGGTTACAATCATAACAGGCTGACTAGAGAATTAGTCCCATCAGTGGTACTTATGTCTGAGTCTTAACATGCTTAGGATTGCATGTAAATTATACTGGGAGTATAATTCATTATGACAAAAAAAACCCCACCCATATACTGTATATTGTTTAGTCATAAAATGCAGCAGCCAGGAGTGAGTGGGGAAAGAAAAAAGGGAAGAAAGGAAGTTGAGGACTAGGAGAACTAGAGAAAAGAGTAGTGCTGGATAGATGTACAGGTCATCTTTATTTAGCTACCACAACTGGGATCAGCAACTTGGTTGTTAAGCGGTTGCTAAGTGAAACGGTGACTATGCTTAAGATCTTTCTTCAGTTTTCCTTTGCTTTGCAAACCTGCGAAGGTCGTAAATACAGTATAAGGGTTGATTATAAAGTTACTTTTTCGTCACCATCATAATCAGTGCTTTTTTTCTAAAAAAAAAAGGTGCCGGAACTCACACACGTCATACAACCCGCCTTGCCTACCCTACACGGTTCCATCCAAAAAAGGTGCTGGAACTCCGTTCTGGGCGTTCTATGACAAACAAAGCCCTGATCATAACTAAGAACGGTCACCAAATGAGGCAGTTGCTAAATGAGGACCACCTGAAAAGGCTGATGAGAGAAGGTTAAGGCTGGACATACAATCAAAAAGAATGATTTCTGCCCTCAAGGATTTGAAGCTCTACCAGAGAAGATTCAAAAGATAATATACTGTATATACTGGTGAATAAGCCGAGAATGTTAGGCTCCAAAATACCACCCGAAAAATTGGGATCTATTTATCATGGGCTTAAAATCATGTGATTTGTACAAATAACAATGTAAGACATTGCAGTTTTTCCATTTATTGTTGCAGTTAAAAATTCAAGTGTCTGCTTATTCACAGATGATGCATTTTTCATGGTATTTTGGCCGAAATTTTGAGGATTGGCTTATCTGTGGACAAGCTTATCTGTGATTATATATGGTGTTTGTGAAATGTTTGGAGA